TTTTTTACTAAAAATGAGGTGTTTAATACACTTTTTTAAAATAATATGGTTCCAATCCAAAGCAGTTCGGTCCCATGTGGTGTTGACTACAAATGAGGGATTTGTTTTACTGAATTTGAATAAATGAATTTTATCAAACAATGTCTTCTTGTGTTAATATACCGTTTATTTTAAAATAAAATTACAGGGATGACAACAGTGCAAATGATTAGCCATATTAAAGATAACAAAGGTGAATGGACATGCAAAGTTAGAGTTGTTGAGAAGCGGAACATTAGAGACTCAAGGTCCAGTCCAAATAAGTATAGACCTTATGTATTGCAAGATCATGAAGTAAGTGTTTTTATATCATAAATGAACTAAACATAGAATATTACAAAACCATGCTTTTGATCATGTTAATTTTATGTATTTATTTTAAAATAATATGGCACGAAGGTTCTCACTATGGTGAATAGTGGAGACATTGATCAAGTTAATCGAGTATTGGATATCCATAAAATATATAAAAATAACAAATGCTGCTATGATGCTGACTAAATGCAATGTCCCATCACCATTTCCCCACTATAAATACATATGGATGATTAGTAGACAGACATATATTGACCCAGTTCCAGATTTTGAACAGATTAAAAAACCAGCTGAGGTAAAAGAGATGCTGACACCATTTAATGAGTTTTACGGCATTAGTGCAAGTAAAACCCCCATAAGTAAGTCATTTAATTTCTCTTTTCTTATATAGATATACAGTTGTTTACTACGACTTTGCATCAGATCTGTACATATGTATGTATGTATGTATGTATGTATGTATGTATGTATGTATGTATGTATGTATGTATGTATGTATGTATGTATGTATGTATGTATGTATGTATGTATGTATGTATGTATGTATGTATGTATGTATGTATATATGTATGTATGTATGTATGTATGTATGCATGCATGCATGCATGCATGCATGCATGGATGGATGTATGTATGTATGTATGTATGTACGTACGTACGTACGTACAACTATTTTCAAACAGTTAATTTTACCAAACATTTTTAACGATCGGCCAACTCATCCTGCCGGTCAAACCAGCTAAATTAAACAGCCATTCACAACAGCTGGCCTGCTAACAGAAAACAGCTGACCGCCACCGAGCAACTCAACCACCATATATGACTAGATTTCAATACTCATAGCTTCCGTTTATAAGATAAGTTGGATAGATCCTATTTTAACTAAAATCCAATCCATAGGTTTGAGTATACTTTGGGGCAACCGACACCCTACCACAGTTTTACCTAGTCAGAGTGCAACAAGCTCCCAGGTACCAAGAGACTGAAGAGCCTCGATTTCTATAAACGTTGTTCGTCTGCACCACAGATTTAAAAGAGCTTCATGACTAGTTTTTGGGAATGCTACATCCAAACATGTGAAAGAAATGAAAATTATGGAGTGGTGAAATAATGATAGCAAAGAAATTTGTATTAGGGGTGAGGGTTAAGAGTGGAAGATATAAATTGTGTGAGAGCAATGACTAGATCATCATGTGCTGGATCCGTGAAAGATGGACTGATGGAGTGTAACAGAATCTCTTGTACTTGTAAAGGACAGGAGAAATTATGATTAACATGCAGAGGAGGTTGTTTTGGTAACGAATGAGGTGGTGGCGTGGTAGAATCTGTGTCAGGGGTATCCAATATTCCAATAAAAGAGAGATAGGACAAAGGTATGGAATAAACTTGGATAAATGGGGTGTATCATATGAAGAACTTTTATAGTAAAAGGATGACTCATAAATGCTACCTTTTCCGGAAAAAAATATTTTCTTCATGTCCGAGAATAACAACGATATCCTTTTTGGAGTGGGGAATATCCAAGGAAAGTACACTTGATAGACCAGGCATATAGTTTGGGTTGACTGATAAAGGAAACAAGCCTTTGGCTTGAACATCATTATTGAAGGACTGAAGAAGGCATCGTGTCAATGATATGCCCTGCAAGTGTGAAATTTTCCCAGAACTGTGGTTTGGGGGGGTGCAGTAAAAGATTGTGATCTGTGTTCACCAAACAACGGTTCTTTCACTCAGCAACCACATTTTTCTTAGGTGTGTCAACACAAGAGGATTGGTGTAGCATCCCCGGGAAGCCATGTACCAATCATAGTTGTCAAGGCGTCGTGTAAATTTAGAAATTTAGAAAAACTATGGCCACCAAGACGGTTATGTAAAGTAATTTCATACTCAATAGACACACATGCAACAACCATCAGGGTTTGGTTATTTAAGGTGATAAAGCCCCAGAGATTCACGTCCTACGCCAACCGTCTTCCCCTTGTGACATTCATGTATAGCCACAGAATCAGCAAAAAGAGTTATGGAGCAGATGAGAGATTAAGTACGTAAGCATATAGCACGAGGTTAAGGAACTAGTAGGAACCAATAAAACTAAATGAAGTGGTAAAGATGTTTGCAAAAGAGCTATTCCAATTCTAGTGTTAGGTGTTTGATGCCCATTTGCAAAGTGATTAAGGGAAAGTTTCTTTGTTTAGAGACATTTGACAAAGGATAAGGATTACCAGAGATATGATCAAATGCACCAGAGTCAAGGATCCAAACACCGGTGATGCTTGACACACATGCTCCAGACAAAACTGACTCACTGAATGTTGCGATGCTTTAAATTTCTGGTTGGGTGCATACTCATTAGGTGATATCACAACCTAA